CCCCCCCCCCCCCCCCCTCAAATCTATAGGAAAAAAAGTTGCTTATAAATATAAATATTCGTCCCACTTAGCTCCCAGCTCCCCTGGATCTCTGGGAATGGACGATTATATTCCTTTTTTTCGGAATCTTTTCCCCTGGAAGAACTGTACTATTTTATGTTTCAAGCGAATTTTTCCCGGTTTTTTCTTGAAAATGGTAAATCCTTCCTGCCCTTTTGATGATTGGTCTCGATAATGATAAATAATTGAGAAAAAACAAAACAAAACGAAACGAAACAATTGTTGACTACGAGTTGACTACGCAGCCGTTCTCTCTGTACAAAGAGTATTAATATATGTTTAGATCAAATTTAGTTTCATCGTCAGTTTGTCTTTCATTTTAAACCAACGATGACAAGCTTTGTGAATAAAATGAAAACAAGACTCATTGGATAAATGAAGTTTGCATTTTTCAATTTTTGGGGGTGATTTTACTTGAACCGTGAAACAGACAATAACAACTAGTGCAAAATAGCTACCAGTAAACAACAGAAGACAATAGAATTAGTGCATAATAGTGCATAGTATTCTACTACTTATTTCACGGGTTAAGCAAAATCACTCTGTAAGTTATTTATTGAAAATTTATATTTCTAACTATGGCATAGGTAAATGTCATTCAACCGGGAAGGGGGTGTGGGTGGTGGTGATCCAAGCGGGGTTAGGATTATACAAGTAAGAGAGGCAATTTGGGCATGGCTCGGTCTTTCATTTTTGGGCAACAGGCCCCAATTTTTCAAAAGGTGGATAATGCTATGACTGAATTGAAAGTATTAGGATACAACTTTTGTTACCCAATACCAGAAACTCATAAGGGGTTTTCAGCCCTTGATGAGTTTCTGCCAATACCCAGCTAGCAGTGGATAGAGATTCATTCGGTGTTAGATTGGCCAATGAATTTCTACATGATGTGGCCTACAGGTAAAAAAGGATAAAGCTTGATTCTTGGACAAATGGAAAGGCTGAATTGGAGAACGCAGACACAAAGGAGTTAAGAAGCACTGTATTGACTAAGAAGCTTTTAAAGTATAAGCTTTTAGCCCCGTGGAAACGGACGCAAAATTGTTGACCAACAACTCCTAACATTGTTGGGAGTTGTTGCGTCCGTTTGCACGAAGCTAAAAGTTTGACTGAGGTTTCAAACTTTGCACAACAACTCCCAACAACACGCAACAACATGCAACGTACAAACGGACTTAACATGTAGCTGATGCAGCATCCAAAAATGTTGAGAGTTGTCGGGCAACAATGTTGCGTCCGTTTGCGCGAAGCTTAAGGTTTGTGGGAAGCAAAGGACACTGGAACACTTCAGCTTAAAAGAACATTATGGATGTTTTTCGATGCGGCCTATGGTGAATTATTAGGGAATAAAGCGTCTAGTTGGGTGTCCGGAAGTTATTTTTTTCCGCCACTCGTAAAAGCCTCAAGGTACCACGGCAGCGGCGAGCGGTGAACAACTCGCTTTTTGATTAAAAGTGTTCGGGTTCTTTTAATCTCTTTCGCGATTATTCCAACTCGATTACTTTGTCAAATTTAAGTGAACTCTCCTGTAGTTGAATTTTAAAGGCTTTAAAACTATCCGGTATAGCGTGAACACCTATTTGTTATGCGACTCTTCACTTTAGAGACTTAATTCGCTTCGTCACAGAAATCGCGCGGCCACAAACATTCTTTTGTGAACAGAGTATGATTTTCGAGGCGACGCAGAAGTTATCCAGTACAGCGTGAACATATGAGCCTAAGAAAAATATCCCAGTTCAGGAAGAGAAAAAATTCTTCGTTACTTCTTTACGTTCTCCATAAAACGTGAAATTAGGCATTTTCACGTCGTAGCATAGTCGTGCAGTGACGGCTCGTGATGCACGTGCAAAGTTGTTGTTTTACAAATTAGACCACTTTTAATTACATGTATACTTCGCTTTCCGACCACGTTGGATATCATGGCAAGCCGTAGTGTGAAGTACGTAAGTATTAGTTTCCTTGTATTATACTAGCTTATATAGTTATGGTACTCATCTTATCCTTTTTGGTTTGTACTGCATCCTTGGGAATTTCTGAAGGCTCATTTTTCGATTATGAGCTATTGTGAACCCCAGGGTTCGGTGTCAGCCAAGACACCCAAGTGAATCGAAAGTGAAAGATACAGTCAAATTCGCAAACTTTAAATGCAGTTGAATGGATAGAGGATAAGGGATAACATCTCAGTGATCAAAAGTAGTGGGAATAGGGCTGGATAGACAAACAAAATAGACAAACTTGAAACTTCAGTGCACATGCATCACACGTTTTAATCACCTCTTTAGCGGTGGACACTTCAAGACTTGAACTTCAGGAGAGTTCAGCTACAAGCTACTACATTTTGATAAAGCGAGTTAAAATAACGGCTTTAAGATAGAAAGAACGGGAACTCAGTTTTAAGCGACGTTTTCTTTGCCATCGCGGGATCATGGCTTAAAATCCCTACTTAAGGCGTTGACACTGCGGGAAAATAAACGCGGCAGTGAGGGGGTGGGGTAAGGAGTATGGGGAGGCGAGCGCGTCACACGCGAGGATTAGCAAGCAAAACAATCCCTCCAACCAAGCGTTCTTGACAATGTTTGCCGTAACATTTTCCCTATTTTGGTCCGGAATCGGGTATGGTTTTTGAGGGAACTATGGGAGTGTATGAACGTATTTGTCGTTTCAATCCCAAATGAATAACAAAAAAAGGATGATATACGAATTCGAAGTGGATTTTAAGAAATCTTTTATTTGTTCAAATCTAACTAATGATGACATAATTTCTTAGAGACCACGTCTAAAAACGGGTGTGGAAAATGACATTTTTTGGTCTGAAATAGGGTCAGCATTTGGAATTCCCAGGGATACCCCCCCCCCGGGCAAGTTATCCACAAACAAAGTCATTAACTAAGGCAAGCAAGAATTGTCCCATGCAAGCAAAATGTGAGAACTGCTTGCCAAAAGGACAAGCTGGAATTCAAGTTTTTTTTTAGCCCTGACAGCTTTTAGAAAAAAAACCTTACAATGCTGTTTTTCATATGCCACATCTGAGAAAAAACATATTTGATTAAAGAAAAAAACTCTGCATTACTGATTTTGAGGAGAATTAAAACCCTATTGACAGGGAGAAATCCACCCCTAAAAATTCTGGAATTATTTTTTTTAAAACTATTAGTGTAAGTACACTACATAATTTGCTAACAACAAATGAATTTTAAGAACAAGGCAAAATTTTTACTCTTTTTGAAGTAAATGTATGTGCCACTTCAGCTTAAATTAGAGTTCTTAATTAGTAACTATATACTTTAAAATTATTTTAGATAACTCTCTCTTGTGACTGTCTCCTATCTTCTTGTATGTACCAATGAATACAGTTTTGGTCAATTTTAATTTACTCATTATTTAACTTTAGAAATGCTGATATTGTTGCGAGAAGTTAACTATCAAAATTGTTCAGGATTTGAAACTGTATCAAAAATACCACAGTGATGGCTAATTTCCATACCTTTGCTCTGAATTTTGGTAATTATTTATGAATATTTGGGAGGCTATAGTTGTGAGCCTTGAAAGAGTGTTATATACAATATCTAGAAACAACAAAGTCAGCATAAAGATTCTTCTGTGCCACCTTTCTGATGTCTCCTCATTGGGTTCCCTGGTTCCAAAAAAAAAAACAGGACACCACAATTTCCTCTATTCCTGTTTGAGCCCTCTTCTCTTGATGGTGCACAGGACACCACCCTTGGGTCTAAGCGTCAGCCTTTCTTCATGTATCATTTTATGTTGCCCTGGTAACAGTGTCAACTCAAACTCCTGCAGCAATCGAGCCATAAGCACTCGCGCCTCAAACTGAGCAAACGTTTGTCCAATGCAGGTCCTTGGTCCAACAGAAAATGGATAGTAAACAGACTGTGGAATTTGCTTGTCAGGGGAGAACCTGTCAGGATCAAACTTCTCTGGTTCTGACCATGCGTCTGAAAGACGCTGCAGTATGAACCAACTAATATTGATTGAGGTTCCTGCAGGTATGGTTAATCCTCCAAGGTTTTCTTCCTTTGTAGTTATTCTTGTCGTTCCCCCGACGGGTGGGTGAAAGCGGAGGCCTTCCTTGAGTGTCTGTCCCAGATACTGAAGGTTTCCAAGATCTTTGTGTTCCACAAACTGGCGGGAGCCAAGCACAGTTTCAATTTCTTGAATAATTCTATGCAAAACAATCAACATCAGTGGTGCTCCCATCCTTAGAAGTTTATAGGTATCTTACCCTCAGAAACATTATTATTGTTTCTTAGGGTAAGATACATACAAACTTCTAAGGACAGGAGCAAACAAAAGACAGCTACAATTTTTTTGCAAGAAATTAAAAAAACTAACCAGCTATAATATCAATGTGTTTGTCAAACAGTTTTATAATGTAATTGGAAATGTTTAGTAGAACATTCAGGTCATTGTCATCCAGTCTATCTACTAATCTTACCTACACTAGTGTGTACAAATACCTGTTTTCAACATTGGGATGCTTCAGTATTTCAAAAAGAGTGAAAGATAACTGGTTTGAAGTGGTCTCCTGACCTATAAAAGGACAAAAATAAGGGTAACGAACAAAGAAAAAAGTAGAAGACTGCAAAATGAAAGGAGACATACAAAAACAGGACTTCATCTTCTCCTCAAAGATGCCTCAAAAGTTTTTAAGACAGGATCAAACTTTCTGTGATACATGTAAACAATTTTCTAGGTACCACCCGTTTGTTCAACTCCACAGTGAAATGTCTTACCTGCAACAAAAAATGTCACAAACTGATCAATCAGATCTTCAAAACTTAAGCTGGACTCTGATTCTGCTACTTTTAAGATGTGAGCAAGTATATCATTGGGAGTTTCGTCTTCTCTCAAAACAGCTTCCTGTCTTTCCTTGAGGACCTTTCCTGCAAACTCACGAATGAATTTTATTGCTTCAGCCAAACCTGACTGGGATGGAAATACCAACCCCAACAGCTGGGAGAATGGGGTACGTATGCTTTCCTGGACCCCCTTTAGACCTTTGGAAACTGCTGATGGAAATGGACTGTTAGCGTCTCTTATAACGTCAACATCAATGTCAAAAGCAACCTGTAAAAGGATCATTAATACCACTTTAAAGTAACTGCAGAAAACCTGGCCACTCAAAAGCTGGACTGGCTAATGTGGCACCACTACTTATGGCTTTAAGAGCTGCATTAGGCTTATTAAAGAACAAGACATATATGTGACTTAATGCAGCTATGTGGCTACGTGGATTGTGTGGAGCTACTGACATACTTACAAATGCAGAATACTAGCGTGCATCACATGTACTCTAAACCCTTCTGTATAGAGTATCTGCAAATTAGTGAACAGTATCATGTTCAAATCTCGCAGAGTTGAAACGACGTATGTTGGTGTTTTTGATAAACGTTTTTCTTACACAGTTTGTGGTTAGACCAATTTCAAATAAAGTGTTGACAGGCCTAACCTGACTCATACCTAAAGGCAAGAGAGAATGAGCTCATGATAGTGTGAAACATGGCCTTAGAGTCAGCTTGAACAACAGAGGTTATTCTTGCTTTCTCTCTTAGAGCACAGATTATACAGTGCATAAAGTATTCTAAACTTTGACTGAACAAGCCTTGTTTTTGCAATTTCGAGTCTCACATTTAGAGGTTATGAATCTGGTTAGTACCTTTGGTTTTCTCCAAAATGCCTGAATCTGAATGGCTACGTGTGTATAGTTTTTTTGTCTGGGAACATCATGATTTCCTGATTTGTTTTAACGCTAAAACTGTCGGCCAGATTGCAGAATGCAAAGCAGTGCATTAATTTGCAATGATTGAACCAGTCGGCAAATTTACAAACACATTTTGGCCTTGAAGGAATTCTCTCAAAGCATTTTGTTGTTGTTGTTCTGAAGAAGACTTTCTAGTTTGAACTGTTCTTTCATTGTTTACCATAAACGCTCCTTGCCATAAGAAACCTGCCTGTCAGAAATGCTAATGAAATCCTTGCGACTTTGCTGAATATCAGAACAAGCTTTTGTTTACTAATTCACAGAAAATCCATACAAATGGATTGGATGATGCATGGGCCAGCTGCAAGGCAGGCTACAGAATACCTGGCCATTCCAAAAGCTGGACTGGCTACATGGCTACACTGCTGCTATGTGGCTTTAAGAGCTGCATTGGCCTTATTGAAGAACAAAACATATATGTGGCTACACTGCTATGTGGCTTAAAGAGCTACATTGACCTTATAAATTAAAGAACGAGACATAAATGAATGACTATGAGGCTATACAGCTAGCTATGCCACTAGGTGGATACATAACTAAGTGGCTATGTATCTTCACTGAGGGCTCAAAGAACAAGGCATATACATGGCTAGGATGCTATGTGGCTACATGGCTATGGGGCTATGCATTTACATGAGGTGGGGGGGGGGGTACTCCAGATTTCAAGTGAAAGGGATGATCGAAGGGTTTTTGGGGGTTTGAAATTTCAACTTTGGTTTTTTTTGGGTAGGAAAATTTTGGCAAGTATCTTTTTGGGTAGCTTGATCTAAGTAGGGATTTTTGGGGGTATTCAAAACAAACTGAAGATTCGTGACAGTTCCCGCACACACCCAGCCTTTTTACAGTGTATATTCTTGAGTATGTGAGGTTGAACTGAATACCTTTCCAATAACATCCAGAGTGACCCTGGCAAATTCTTCTGCCATATTTACAACAGTTTCTCCATCTGCCATCTCATCCAGCTTGGCCAGAAACAAGTCACAGCTGTTGTTAAACGCGGACATCAAGTTCATTAAATAACGGCGGTGGAACGCCGGATTTAACAGCGCTCTTTGCTTTTGCCAAACGCCATGATCGGTCTCCGTTACCAAACCGCGGCCCAAAAGTCTGTGACCGAATGGATAGCCAAGATGCCCATAAACCCTAGGATTTTTGGGCAAATTTAGCGTTAGAAGACACTTTTTAGCGAGTTCTCGATCAGAAACGAAAAGGAAAGGCCGGTGAAAGCCCCACATCAAAACTACTGGACCGTAAATACTGTGCAATTCTTGCATCAATTCACTCATGATTTTTCCCTTTTCTCGCTCTCGGCGAATAAGCGGTACGTTACCAAGGAAAAAACTGTCCCTCTTTGGTCCTGGGATGTGGCTGAACCTCCAGTGAATGTAAACCAGGTAAATGGAAAATGCCGTGAATATCAAACTCAAAAGAGAAACAACTGCAATGAAAATCGCGGAAAGCACGAAAGCAAGAGCCATTTCGGAAACAAAATATACCAGGCGCATAAGCGGAGTCTACCTTTGCAGACCTTCGCCCTCTATGACCTTGATTGTTGGCGAAGTCTACCAAAGGAACGTGGTCAACTTAGAATTTTTTGCATAAACGAAAACGCTTGTAACGCAGGCTACTGATGTCATAGTATTTAGCCTCCGCCGCAGATATTCTTAGGGGTTCGTCACGCGTTCCTGCCCCACTTCTAAACGTCTGCTGATTTGAGCGAAAATACGTAGACCAATCACGGCAGACTTCCAGACCTAGAGAAATTTCGCGCTTGACTTTTAGCTCCAGAAAAGATCAGAAAAGTCTCATGAAAGGTGAGGACCTTTCAGTTTTAGAACAAATCACTCAGTTAACACACAAGCGTTCGTACCAGAGGTTACGCTCACAATCTCATTGCAAAAAATTATCTCGGAGGTTAATTTTGCAGCTGATTTTGCTAAACGGAAGTCGGCGAAGTGTGAAAAAATATTCTGCCTTTTGTTCAGTTGACAAGGTAAGCCAACCGTTATATCACGCAAAGAACAACTTTATGAGCAAATGACATCTAAGCCTTACAGAGAGAAATATACAAAGAGCCAATAGAGACCTCGAAAACACAGACGCAGACTCCAGAGCAAAAATCTTTTACCCTGTGTAGCAAGCGTTTCCGCCCGAGTTCGTCAGTAAAGTTGAGACGAGAGCAAAAAAAAGGAATGACAGGGGAGAGGGAGCGTCACAGATCTGGTCTCATCTGATTTGTGGTCGCAGATTACAAATGCCTCTGACTGATATTTATTTTAGTCGTGTTTGTGCGAAGGTTTATGGGATCACAGTTCTTTCAAAGTATAACTGGAGATCGAGCAGTGGAGACTAGTGAAAGCCATTTTATTGAGAATGACGGCGTGCGGATCTGACTGGAAAAAATGGACTGTTTGTTGCAGCTGAAACATCAACGTGAATCAGAGCATCAGTACTCGTCACTTAGCGAAAAGCCGCCATGGACAAGCGATTTGTCAGCTTTTTGAAATGAAAAGATTATTTTTGTTTATTGGAAATTTAGCGGGATGTATTGAAGAGAACGTTTCGACACGCGAGAAAAGGCGACCGCGGCGGGGTGATTTTCACGCGCGCAATCATTTCGCTCCCTCTACTATCCCTGAGGAAAAATGGAGGACTACTCGTAGTTTATATACATGCATACACACAAACCTTATTTATACACGCATTTGGGGTCGTTGCAAAAATTACAAATTAAATTTTACAGGTTAAAAGTTATTAATACCAGGGAATAAAATCGTTCAATCATAAAATACACATTAGAAATATAGAAAATTCTCAGATCTGTTGTTAATTGTTTGGGGGGCTAAAAAGTTGAAATTAAAATCGCTAAAAGAGCAATACTTAACGACTTTTTTCAGTAAAGATCTCATGTCTGTGCAACCTAAAATAGAACCATTTGAACGACCTATGGCTTTCCAGAGGACAGCCCCTCTATAGGCAATAGAGTTTTTATCGTAATTTGACGCAAACTTCGGAGCTATTAACCCGTGTTTCGTTCTTGACACAGATCTGTTGCTGTGAATTATCAATTGTTCAGCTAAAGCCTGTGGAAGCATACCATAGTAACCTTTGTAAAAAAGCTTAATTAAAGAAAGTTTAAATCGATGTGTTAAGGTGTCCAACTTAACGGTGGCTAAAACGTCAGCTGTAGGCATATCATATGATCCTGGCAGCACGGCAGTGTTGTCTTTCCAATGATTTAAATAACTCCGTCTGACTTACGCTGCCCCACACTGGCATCGCGTTTGTATTGGACGGCTGGATAACCTTCAAATAAAACGACTCGCACACATGACTGGGTAGAAACCTTGATTTCTTCAAAAGGCTTAATTTATTTGCGAAACTGTTAACGACTTCTTGCAGATTAGGTATCCAGTTCAGATTTTTATCTACGGTAACACCCAGAAGTCTGGTCTCGGCCTTGTCAATATAAATGGCGGGCAGTGGGCCTATAAGCCGAGCTTTGGAGAGTAACATTACCTCGCATTTGCCAGGACGTGGAGTTAGGTGGTTGTTTTAACAAAAGTTTTTTAAGTGCACCGTTTAACAAATCACAAGCGGCGTCTTGCGGCTGGTGCACTATATTAAGTCACCGGTGACGTTATTTGGTACGTCTTGCAAGGAGTCGATGCAGAAAACCGTAGCGTCGTCAGCATACATAAACGTATCTACAGATGTAATCGACAAGGGTAGATCGTTCGTAAACAAAGTGAACAAGGTAGGGCCCAAAACCAAACCCTGTGGAACTCCACATCTGACCTGTGTATTTGAAGTTTTTCTGCCATTTATCACCGTAAATTACGTTCGTACACGGCGCAAATTGCGTTCCTTTCCGGTTCAGCAGACCTTAGTGGGACAGGAAAGTGTGACGAACGCCTGAGAACGTCTGCGTGAGAGGCTACCAGAAGTAGGAACTCGCGTTTCTCTTTTAAAATCGTTTCAACGTACGACATAAAACGTTACAATATATTCTAACATTACTCCGAGGCTTTAGGGTCAAAATTGCAATTTTGTTACGACTCCATGGTCTCGCAATTCCCAGAAGAGATCAGTGAGCACAAAGAACACAAAACCAAATATAGAAAAATGCCCGGGGGGGTACTTTCTTATGTAAGCTATGTAGGTATGTGCCGCCACATTGGGTAATCTTTTTACACCGTTTTGGTCTGAAAACGGATATACACTTTGCCCATTTTGCTCTGGAATCGGGCATGGTTTTCGTCGGAACTACGGGAGTGTATGAACGTAATTACCGTTTCAATTCCAAATGAGTAAGAAAGAGAGAGAAATATGCGAATTCGAAATTGATTTGAAGTATTTTTTTCTTTGCGCTCTAATCTAAGTAATGATAACATGATGTCTGTCTAAAGGACAGGTCTGAAAACAAGTCTTAAAAATGACTTTTTTTGGTCTGAAATACAGTCACAATCTAGAGAACCGGGCGGCACATCCCCACCAAGAATTCCCAGGAGTACCCCACTGGAAAGATTACCAGAAAGCATCGAAGTCATGTATCGAACGTGGGCTATTGGACTGCAAAGGAACTGAAAACCTCAAACCTTGTGTGACAAGCGTGACAAGACTTACCGTAGGACGAAATTTTTGCGGGTTCTAATTTTTGCGATTTTTCCAGCGATCCGCAAAAATAAGTTCTCGCAAATAAATGTTACCGCAAATATTTTCCCCACAAAAATTTATTCCAAAGTAAATATTATTTTCCTTAAATACGCTACACAGAAACACAGTACTAAGAAATCGTGTCTGTTCATTTATAACTTGTCTCTTTCGTTCAGAAACAAAACGGTATACTATGAATTACTGGTTTTATATAGCGTACGCACACCGTAGTATTGTTTGAAAATGGTGTTTTTATTAAATAAACCCCAATGAAATAGCAGATGAGCTTTCGCTTTCAGATGTGAAAATAACATGCTATCTTCACACGTAAAAAGATCATCGTTGCTATAGCTACATATCTATTAAGGTGAAATGGTTTGGTACATGAATTTCATTGGGGTCTGTCTATAAAATAAATAGAACATTACATAACCGCTTGAGAGATACGAAATTTCTCTTGTGGCGTTTAAGAAATCTTTCAATCGTTCGCTGCGCTCACTCGTGAAATATTTTTTAACACTCGAAGAGAAATTTCGTATTTCCGCGCGGCCATGTAATATCCTCTATTTATTAAAAACTGAAGCATCGGATAATGCAATTCTAGAGCTCTGATTGGCTTGGCCATTGTGGTATATGAGCCATTACACCATGCTCTCTAAATATGGTAACTGCACGTGCCTGCTCAAAGTGATTATAGACCGTAATTTACAGTACGGACCGAAAACTTGCAGCTAATAACTTTTCTGCGCACTTAACGAACATCTTTCATCGCTACCATTTTTTATCCTTTAACATTACTGCAATTTTGTATCAAGATTGACTCAGCTGAATCAATAATTCTATCAATATTTACTCTACAAATATTTTTTAATGGAAAGTTGATTTTATACGATATCCTTTTTTTTCGTTGAAAAGAAAACAAACTATTTTCCAAAAACATTTTTTCTCGGCTCTTCGGGCCTCACTTTGGTCTTAAAATAAGCGTAGGGGCCCGGGTCTCTCTCTTAGATCCGCCACAAGGGACCAGGCAAGTTATCCCCGGGGGGGAGGTTACTCCCTTATATAAGCTATATAGGTATGTGCCGCCCCAAAGGGTAGGGTTTTTGCGCCGTTTCGGTCTGAAAACGGGTATACATCAGTGGCGGATCCAGGGGAGGCCCCCCCGGTGATCTTTTATACCAAACCGAGGAACGAAAGGCCGAAGAAAAATTTCTTTGAGACCGAGCCCCCACTTATCCCCGGAACTGACCGGAACCGCTCCCCCACGC